TGACGGTCGAGATCTGCACAATATAACAGAAGGGTGTCAGATGCGTGTACATCTTCGCTGAAGTTCCATGCCCACTAAAGGGGCGGCCGAAGATCCAGCTCCTTATATAGCTGCCAGTTGATGCATCCGTCGATGCTGATAACTGTGGGGGGACGAGCACCGGCAGGCATTCCCGAACGCGCAATCCGGAAGGCTGGCAAGCGGGAAAGTCAGCTGATCGCAGGGTTTGGTTGAAGCGCGTGTCCAGGAACGCTACCGGGTGCGCAGACGCGGCTCCGGGCAAAGGCCTGGTACATGAGGCAATGACGGTCGAAATCTGCACAATATAACAGAAGGGTGTCACATGCGTGTACATCTTCGCTGAAGTTCCATGCCCACTCCGTTCTTACGAGCGCCTCATCTGACTTATTGGACGATGGGTCCTAGGACGGGGGCCCGCTACCAGAATGAGACCCGCGGGACCCAGAGTCGCAATAGCGCTTAACAGTTTCCTGTCAGCAAAGACATCGTCGTTATTGAGCTTGCAACAAATATCGCGTTTGCTTGCTTTTACGGTGTTATCACGCAAACTTTCACTTTTGCTGGCAGTGCGCTGTCATACGTAAGCTTGGCAAGTTGTTGTCGTCACTAATCTCTCGGCTGCGAACGCGAACTTCGTATCACGCACGCTGTTCATGGTTCACTGCTAGTGCGATCTTTTTGATGCTGAATCTTTATGTTTTGGACAAACTTTCCGTGGCAACATACAAAACGGCAAGCTAGGCCTAATCGGCAGTGGTTGGACTTCGATCGGTAGTAGTCACGTGAATGTAAGTTGCGGTTTGGTACTGCATCTCCGAAACTCTTTGCGGTAGCCACACTTGACAGGAAGGGATACATATCGTTTATGAAAATGAGGGCGATACCTGTAGCGCTCAAATAATGGTTCGTGATTCGGTTACGATGTCCTAAATCAGGTGTGCGCCTGTGAAATGAAATGATTGGCGTCTTTCAAGGTGTCAAATCCTCGACGTGATTTGACATATTTCTGTGTAATGCACATAGTCGATGCTGTCTGGTAGTCCGGGAATTTCGGTGATGGTGCTTTCATTTGTTGAACATCCCCCCCCCCCCCCCTCATGTTCATTTCATTGGCAACGTGTTTTTGAACGTTACATTCTTTTAACATTCAGAAATTTTGATGTTAACAAGCACCCATTGCATGTTCCAATTCTTGGACATGTGAAGCTGCATGCTGAACACGTTTTGCGCAAGTGCGGCCCTTGAAAAGGTTGTTTCGGTTATATTGTGGCACCTCTTATAGTGCGGATATTCGCGACTCCCGCGACTTACGTTATAAGCGGTCTATACTGTATATTAATTCGGATTTTACACAGAACATTACGCCGACAGCAAGAAAGACGATGAGACTGTTGATATAATTGATATCGCAATAGTAAAGCTATGCTTAATTTAGCTTAGCGTTTGAAAAAATGCAGCAGTGTAAAAATGTTGTTTCACAAGAGCTGTGATTCGGGGCTACATCTGCTCTGAACGTTTTGACTGCTACAGGCCGGCTCCAAAATGTCTTTCTTAACGTGCCAAGCATGCTACAAAAGTCACTTTTGCCTACTACTAGGATTGTGCCTAAACCCATGTGCCCTGTTCCAGCACTGCACATAGTCAATTACTACGCTTTTCGAAGGTGTTTCTTTAATGTATTGGGCTCGGGCAACAGCTGACCACAAGTTTGTGAATGGTCTGCAGACAATGGCAAGTCGACTTTATTAAAGGAAAATCACTACGACTTGTTCACATTTGCACTAACAGCACTAATCTTCAATTACGAGAACCTTTGACTTGCACGTTGCTTTGGGACATTTATTTCATGATTCAACTTCAGCTTCGAAGACTGTTTCTTTTTCAAAAAGGCTGCGATAAGAGAATTTTGTGGATTCATTGGAGCCGTTGAACACACTGCCAAGAAAAAGGAAAGCATGTACCAAAACAGCTTCTGTAATATAGTGCAAGACCTGTGATGCGATGGGCTCGCTCATTGCACACTGGGCTGAATGTTACCTTAGTGCTACATGAGGCACAAATTTTATTTCAGAGCACACTGTGGGACGAGCTCACTACATGCAATGTCTAGCTTCGATAGCTTAATTTCAACACACTTACTGGCATGGTTATGTCGTACAATGCCTGGCACTATGCTGAAAGGTCACAATCGCTTTTTCTATAAAAACTGTTTCTTCTAAGTACTAGACGTTCTTCACATCAGGGAGCTTCTGTTCTTTTGACAACACGGTATCGCAAAGGTATCCGATTGCACACACCTAATCGGTTAAATCCTAATGGAGAATAATCGCTTGCCGACTTCGTCACTGTTTTCAGCGATGCACTAAAGAAAATTCTTCTAGGTTACATGGACCGCGAAAAAAATTCAACTAGGTTACATGGACCGCTAAAAAAAAAAAACACAGTCAGGGGTAGTTCCGGCACCCGAGGCGGTGTGGGCGGCAAGCTCGTTGCTGGCGCATGGTCTCATTGGCTGTGAGGGCACTCATGGAGCACTCAAGGAGGTGAGTCGGCGAAGAACTCTTAGAAGGATGAGCCCCGAGAGACTGTTACACAGCATGGTAGCTGACAGCAGGCGGTTGCGCTCGTCCGGTGGCTGGCATCTGGCAACAGCTTGCCAACTGGGAGGGTGAAATCTGCTCTCCACAGAGTTTCAGCGGCTCGGAATAGTTACTCAAAGTGTGACACCTCGTCTGCACAATTGCCCGTTTCTGAGAATGTCTGGAGCCAGATGCGGTCGGACCCTTCGTGCTCGAATCTGAAACTTGACGGCATGGACTTTGATTACAGTGTCTTTTTTTTCGAGCTGTCCAAGTCAAACTCATGCCATTCAATCTCATCATTTTTCTTTCCTCTGGCATCCTTCAGTGTGATCATGCTATGACCTCTGTGCTGACTCTCATCCTCGGCCGATTAACAAGTGCCCTCACCATAAATGAGACTGTGCACCAGCAATGAGTTTGCTGCCCACACCAGCTCAAGTGTTGGAAATACCGGTGACTTTGGTGTTTTTTTTTTACAGTTCGCAGAACCTTGCCTTGTTATCACATGACCGATTGCAGTGGGTTTAACACATTAGTAGCTTGACTGCGCGTTTTTCTTCTTTCTCCTTTTTTTGTTTTCTCTTTTTGTCGTAAAGTTATACAGTCCATCCCGGATATTTCGAACTCGAAAAGGATCACAAAATAGTTTGGTATATGGATATTTGAAAATTCTAAATATGCATATTTCAGGCCTAGGAAATCGCTACGAGTGCTAACATAACGATTCTCTGACCGTATAAGGAAGAACTAGGTGTGAACTGCAACTTACCGCTCTTTATTTTGCATGGAAGAAGTCCATAAACTTGTCTTGCTTCTTGAGCGCCATCATGTTCCAGTCATCCTCATTATCATTGAAGCTTTTCAAGTAAGTGAATTCAGCTTCTACGGTCACAACAGCGTTGATTGATGCAGAATGCCGATGCAAGCTTTGTAGCGTGGCAAAAGGTTAGATAGCGGCGGCAGCAAAGGCGTTGGCATATTCATAACCGCATGGGTACACTTCTTCGGCTACGGCAGCCATGATCTCAGCATCGATGCAGTGAAAAACAGCTACGCTATCATGTGCACCTGTGAAGTCGCACTGTACGCTGTTGTCAGTAGTCACAACGTACTTGAAGTCGTCACTTGGCCGGCAAAGAAAGTTTACGGCTGTGCTTTACTTGACGTCGCTCCAAGCACCAGTCGTATTTTTTATCGTTATGTAGAAGTAAACATTCGGCTCTACTCCCGAATAAAGATTTATCAAGAATGAGGCGAGAAGTACACAAGTCTAGAAGGCGCCAAAGGTAACGTCGAGTTGCCACTGTCGACATGTTGGTGATATCGATGTCACTTGTGCCTTTGTAGCCGGCAGCCACTGCTTTCAGCTGCTTTGATGTGAAAAGCTAGAATAAGCATAGCCTCCGAGACATGCATTTGATGAGACATCGAAGGCCATGTTTTTCAGGCTTGCATGCCGTTGTGCACTATCAAACAAGGAAGTGAAATGCGAACATGGCTATGAGATCGCCAAGTCACGTTGAATTTTCATTTAGGCGTCTTCAGCAATCAGTCTTTTTGAAAAACACTATGCCCGTGCGTTAACCTGCAGCTAGCGCGTCAAACATACCGCTGCACTCACAAGCGCCGCACAAGGAACCAGGTCAGCGCGATGGAATAATGCCACCTTTTCATCACCTGCGCGCGGGAAGGGATTTGAAGTGGTGATAAAGCGGCCCAAAGTTGATCAATATTTACTTGAAAAAATACTTTCTAGGCTTCAGCGCAACGTTTGATATAGCGGATGTCCCGCTGTGCGGGAGTTTGATATACAGGTGCACCGGCCCCCTTCTTTTGCATGGGTAATTCAAGGGCATTTCTCAACTGTTTGATATAGCCAATAATTCGATATATCCAAGTTTGATATATCCAGGATCTATTGTATTTTTTGCATGTGAATTTAAAAGAAAAGACTTTTTTTTATTTCAGGCTCTGCTTCAACGAAACTGACGGGGTGTGGAAAAAAATTTCGTTGTAGTGATATCGCAAAAATATTGGTGATGTGACCTACAAAAACAAAAGAACGTTTACTGTATTTACTCGCATAATGAACGCACTCGTAATGAAAACAACCATTAGATTGAAACCTGCATAACAATGCTATTTTAGAAGCTTACTGATATTAAAGAGATGATGGTGTGCAAACGCCTTCCCTGTCGACTTCTTTCTTGTGCCCGTGTTTGCACATTCTGTATCTCTAACATGAATATCTTATCTAACAATTAGTTGAACTCTTTTGTCATTCACAAACTTACTGATGTTAAGCTTCCTCGTGTAGTGATAACTGCACTAGGATGCGGCATGATCTGTGAGAAGTAGCTATGGCACCATGAGTACCAACATGCTGTCTTTTTGTAGACTTGTTGGAGCTGGACGTTGCCAACGAGGATGTGCACTCGGTTGTCAAGGACACCACGCCCACATCTACACCAAACCGGTTGAGTGGGCTCGATGATTCGACAATGTGAGTGATTGTGCAGAGATTATGCTTGAGCACAGCCTCTGTCATTGATTTTTTTTCTTCCACGGAAAAGATTCAAACACTGATTGTAACTTTGGTGTGTTTCTGCAGATATGAGAATGCAAGGTAGTGGAAGACTGGTGAAAGGAAAACTGTCACCTACTTGACTGTCATTCAAATGTACAAACTTTTTAAGCATGGATTGCTTTTGGCTCTCATTGTCGGCGGCCTTCAAGTTACGTAGAGCCGAATGCAAGCACTGTTGCCTGGGCACCTCTAATAAGACATTCTGGTACTCAGATGAGAACTCGCGCGTAATCAGGCGGGATCAAATGGTTATCAAGTAGGCTCGTGCGAATAGATGATTGATTAAATGATGCTTTAGACAACACTGGCAGGCATCTTACTGCTTTGGATATTTCATGCCCTAAATACCTGTGCAAATTAATTAATCTCCTTGTCAGTTCTTACACAGTAAAAATGGGCGCTGGGTGTGTGTGTGTGTTGCGTGACCATGATGACCTGTTGCAGTGGTCAACCGGGCAGCCTGGGCAGCTCGCCGTCTTCGTCGCAGTGGCCACGCTTTGTGGTCACCCTCGACGGCGTGGACCCGACCAGCTTCAACAGCAGCAACAGCCACCGCGAGGTGATGACCGTAGGTCATGACCTGGAGGAACTGCCGGAAGAAGACGACCATGCGCAGCTCATCCCTGCCACATCCCGAAGGCCACCAGTCAAGAGCCGCCTTATGATGGCTCCAGTCTCCAGTGCCGGTTAGTGACTTGCACACACCAAGCACAACTGCAAAGTGCAGCAAAATATTTTTTAGAACCGCATGATCGGAATTTTTCAAGTTGCTGCCTTCTATTGATCGACCATTTTGCAGATTAATTGCATCAACTCGTCTCTGTATGAAGTTTGTATTGAGGACGAATAATCGAAGCCGAATTCTTTTTTCTTTAGTTAGATTTTTCTTTAGTTTCAAAGCTAATGTCAATTAACTGTTCGGTAACAGTGCTGCCAAATGTCAAGATCTTGCAAGCCTTCAGTGAACGCTCTATTTTTTGCTTTCAATTCGGCCATGGTTTTCGGGACCCAGTACTGAGTAAGGGCTTTTGCTGGGCCTTGTTTACCTTGGCATTAACAAGAATTGATCTCCTCTATGTCCTTGCGCAGAGCTGATGGAGGATGCCTCCATAGTGGAGGAAGAGGAGGCCATGGTCGTGGACGATGGGGCCTCGCACATCCTGGAGAAATGTCGCTATTGGCCTGCCTGCAAGAATGGGGACCACTGCCCCTACCATCACCCTAGCGTGCCCTGCAAGTGAGTGGCATCGGGGAGAGGGCGCCAACAGTTGGTTGATTGTCCCCCTTTTCTTTCATTCTGATAGCAGTTAGGTGGACCCTCTCAAGGGATTTGTGCCATCACTGTCATGTTCCATATAAATTCTAAATGGATAACATCCCCCATGTTTATATGCAGGGGTGGAACAGCTGTGCCATTTGCACCATTGTGCGCCAAACTTATTTACCTGCACCATCCTGCTCTGATCCACTCCTGCTTCGCCAGACTTGCTTATCAGTGCTGTACTTATCAGTGCTGTACTGCGCTGCAATACCATAATTTAGCCCCAAGGTGCAAATGCCATCAAACACCGTGCTTGTAAATGTGGCTGAAACATCGTCTTTTTCGTTTTATCGAAATGGTTATAGTTTTGGTTTCGTAAAGGCTGTGATCGCTATATGCGTGCAATTACGGCAGGTGTCAGCAGGAATGGCTCGTGAGCCCTTCTACGTGCTGTGCTCTCAATGCAAGAGACTGCAAGATGAGCCTCTTTTCTTGGCGCGGCTGTATTTTCTTACACCAGCGTTTTGTAGAGTTACGCGATATTGGAACAAAAGGAGTTGGCTGCCAGCCTGACAATTTGTTGCTCTCGCATTCATTGCTCTGCCCTTCCGGTGAAACTGTTTTCTTTTTTATAGCTTGATGGCTGCATTCTTAAAAGGAAAAAAAAAAAGCATGGCAATGACAGTATTTAAAAGAAGCTGGGGTGGTGTCCGGTTTCTGTAACAGTCTAGCAACGACAGGTGCACACATGGATGCACATGACTGCTCATCGAGCACGTGCGCATATTCTCCTTCATTTGGCCATTGTCCTTCACACTCATTGACTCGATGGTAGGCGCTCACGTGCTCAGGTTTAGAAAAAGATGGACACCTGTACATAACTAATGAATGTCACAGTTGCACTGTAAGGGCGAAGCAATGAATGCGATAGCAACAAATTGTAATATTATACGAAGTGAGGCTGGCAGATAACTCTTTTGGATGCGATGTCACATAACCGTACAAAACGCTGGTACTGGTGTATGAAAATATTGCCACGTCAAGACGAAAAACACTTCTCGCACAGTCTCTCCGTGATGAGAGTGCAGGATATAGAAGTGTATGCTAGCTGCCCGCTGATGGCTGCCAAGCTAGCGTGCACGCCAGCGATCACGACCACGCCCTTAGAAGCAAAGTTCATAGTTGTTGCTTGAGTGGCACGCCCCCATCCCTCGCTTCTTTTCATCCTCTTTCAAAATGGGTGGAGCACTTCCTCTCTGCTTTGACTTTTTAAATAGTTTATTGCCTGCGTTAACATCGCTTGACTTTATATATCATGATACCAATGCTTTTGCTTCTGTCCGGGCTTGGCCAGTGTAATAACTAATCAGAGCGGCTGTTTGTCCACGTTATCAACAAAATCAGCCAGCCCCAAGTAGTGGATGATAAGAAGAGCATAGAATAAGGCAAGAGTCATCGCTCCACAGTACAACGCCTCCGTCGCTGGATTGTCAGATATACTTTGACGGCGGACCGCTGCTGGTGTTAGTGTGTTAGTGCAACTGTTGGGTTTGTTCACGAAAGCCATTGTGGCTGTTGTTTCAGCGAGCTTTTCACCATGGCGTTGCTATGCATGGATAAGAATCGTATCGTGATGCTGTTGGGAAGGGAAAGGAAGCAACCGACACTTTTTGAATTCTGGGAATACCGTATTTACTCATGTAATGAACGCACTTGTTTCTTTGAAAAATCGGAGCGAAGTTGGGCGGTGCGTTTATTACGCGGGTTGAAATTTATGAAAACTTTTTCGGGAGAAGGAAAAAATGCAGTAATGCAAAAAGAAAGTGAGGTCGGTTAGCCTTTCGCTTTTGCTTTTCGGTTTTACTTTATTTTAAATTTTTCCGTCTTTTTTCTCATTAGACATCAAATATTTTTTTCTCATCAAACTTCAAATATCTTGCTTCTAGAAAGCATGTTTTGTTGATAAAAAATTGAAGCATACGTTATTAGAATTAGCCTAACGAAGTTTATCGCCCCGTGACCAATTAGTGTCTTTCAGGATTCGCAAAATAATGTCATTCTGAAGAAACTGGTGAACATAACACGTCAAGTCATGAAAGTAAACTTCGGTATCTGAATAACTAGTGCCTGGAGAATAGGATGACGAAGGGCTTCTTTTCTGCGACAGTGCACTTAGTTCTTTCATTGTACCTCATTTTCTGAACATGTTGAAAAAAAAAGTGTGAAATGGCAATTAAAATTGAAAAAAAATTGCCTAGCAAGTGCTGCCATCTGTGAAATGACATATGAGCTAGCTTAGAAGCCAGCAGGTCTCATTGAAAATACTTGTGGAGAAATGTTATCTGACGCAGACCAGCCACACATGTTCAAAATGGTTTGTGCACAGTTTGGCAAGCACGAGCTAGTGCTCATTCAAAACTGTTGAGGGATTAAACAATACAGTCATGTGAGACAAGTGTCCTGACTGATTGGTTGCAATGTGTGCAGGGCATTCCCCAACTGCAAGTACCGAGACAAGTGCCTCTTCATCCACCCCAACTGCAAGTACGATGCCTTCTGCAAGCGCAAGGACTGCCTCTTCACGCACGCCAGCAGACGGAACTTTGCTTGCCCGCCACCCGGTGAGCCACTTTAAGTCTCGTGGGACTACTTCTCACACTTTATAAACAGACGGGAAAGGACAGCAGAGGTTCTTGGGCAGGGACTTCCATCGCTTGGCACTATCTACAGTGGAACTTCGGTTATATGTCCCCCGGTTTCGCGACGACCCGCATTTTTCGTTATGGTTAGGTTATGGCAAAATTTCAATAACAACAATGTATTTTACCATGGTCATACGACGCAGTTTTACGTCGACCCCGCATCTTATGACGACATTCAAATTGCGTCTATAAGAAAAAACAACGCCTTCACTCAAATCAAGCGTGGACCAAATATTCACGAGTGCAAAATATAAACTTGCTTTCTCCTAGGTTGACGATTAGAAAAGTAGAGAGCGAGACAGATGTCTTCTCAAATTGGAAAATTTATTCTCTTGGAAGTTCATGCGCACGTTTAAGTACTGTTGTACTACACACGCCGCAATCGCGGCGTATGTAGTACAACAGTACTTAAAGATTATGGCGTGTGTACCAACATCGTGAGCGAATGCAACAACCGTCTCGTAAAGACAGTTGAAAGTCGTCTCGTGAAGACGCTTGAAAATCGTTTCGTAAAAACGGTTGAAACGTGGGGAGTATGCAAACGGCTGCTACGATAGCTGATAGCGAGCGGAAAATTAAAAAATTCCGGGGATGGAGGAGCAGCGGACGATGGAGAGCCACGTTATGTGCTAGAGTACTATGTCATCGCGTGCAGCAGCCAATAGCAGTCGCAGGGTCTCTCTCGTCCTTGAGGAGCGCGCCCATCACCCAATCCCGGCAGCGCGTCTCTGCCACGGGAAACTTCAAAGCTCTTGTGAGCCCTCCAATCATGAGTAGCTTGCTCCTTTCCTGCGCTGCTGCCATCGCCGCGAGTGGAAGGAAAAGAAAGTGTGAGAATTCACAAACAAAACAACACCAAAATGGCGGATCTCTGTCAAGCGGTCGAGAAACTACAGTCGCACCAAGTTGGGCTATTTTGAGCGCTCCTGTGTCGCTTGAGGGCTGTGGTGGCTTGTTGTTAACTTTATTTGAAACAGTTTCGCAACAAATTAGATGTCGATATTTACAAAAAAAGGTAGTTTGTGACACATACTGCCCGAATATGTGGTTTGACTGGTTTCCCAAAAAATGACTTTCTGGCGATTTTCCCGTTTTCAAAGGCCGCGTCCCCTCTTAAAGCGCGAAACAGACAGTGCAATTTTTCGTGCAATGCGGCTTGCGGTGCGACGATGCGGCATCCGGAGTGGTGATGTTTTGCGACGTTTCAAGACGTATCGTTGCATCGCACCGCCGCTTAGCCTGTGCGGCGAGCATCAAATTGGCCAGATATTTTTGTCGCCGCATCGCACTGTCGCATGGCAGCAGCCAATCACAGCGCGAGCAAACAAGTAGCGTCATGCCGCTGGTGGTGCCATCTCTTTGTTGCCGCTCCATTCACCTGTGGTCCAGGCCACCCGTAGTCCAGGTTGAAGCGAGTCGATGAAGTGGTGCGAGCGTGGATTTGCTGACATCGCCAATTGTGGTGGCATGACAAACATTGAGTGCATTTTCCTTGTGACATGAAATTATTCCGGATTGAATAAAGTGATGTTTGAAGTCTGCCATTTCTGCTAGACAACGCCCATTTTGAAACCGTCAGCGAAATCGGAGATCGTGAGCAGCAATGCACGGTCATTTCGCAGGTAAACACGGCTACACTGTGGTCTCTGTGAGCCGGCTCGCTTCACTTCTGCCTTTTCTTTTCACATTGATGACATCTAGAAAGTGATAGCGTATGCTAATGAAATACATACGCGTGCAAAGCTTGATAGTGTTGTCAAAAACAAGCGCTTGATGACAAGCTCAAGTGTGAACGGCATAGGCGACGACCGGTGCCCACCATGCTAAGCCTACTTGTCGGAGTCGAGAATAATCAGCTGTTACCGCTGTTGAGATGTGCTTGTCGTTCACGAAGGCGTTTTATTCATTATTTTTTTGTAGAATGAAGCGGGGCTGTGCAGTGTTGTTTGTTTTGAGCTACATTACGAGGATACGAAGTCGTCGGGCCGCGCATGCTGACGCGCCGCATGGGGGTGGAGTCTGCCGCTGATAGCTCCTTCGACCCCGTGTGTCCCGAAACGTCACATCCGGCACGTCGCACCATGCGACACCGCATGCTGAATCGCACGGAAAATTGCACGTCTGTCTCGCGCTTAAGGGGGGACACTGTACTTGAGACAAAATGTCAGATATTTTCATGCTTCTATAAAGAAATTTAAACTGTGATTGAGTTTTTGATGCTGATTCAAAAAATTCAAATACTATTCGTCTAAATCAATTAGTATCCTGAAATTAATTACCTATTGTTTGCTGGTGTAATGGGACAGGAAATTTGTATTGCAGAGCTACTATTGGCACATACCTGTATACTAATGAACATAAGCTACACAATGGTAGGAGTGCTTTTTTTATTTAATAATTTTAGCAAGGTTTGTCGCACCTTGCACTTCAGTCTTGCAGACACGCCCACTTTAGGCTCGAATTTCTGGCAAAAATTTAATTTTTAGAAGATCTTAATAAAAAATTCACACCTACCATTGTGTAAACTAAAGATACAGCTACATGTCACAACAAAAATGACAGTCCTAGCTGCTCTGGAGGCAGAGATATCTTCTAGACAAGTTTGCTACTGCAGCAAAATTTGAATCCTGAGAAATCATGCAAAAACATAACAAGTCCATTTTGGGCAGACAGTAGCATGGAAAAGCTGTTTATTTACAATTATCTGCAAATTCAGCTTTCTCAGTAGGCACTGGGCATGTAGTCCTTCTGTTTTGCGTCACCTAAATGGTGTTTTTTCTAATGCCCGCTGCATGTTTTCCACAGAGGCACACTTTCGAGCTGATGCAGTCACCTTGGGCTCGTCGGCCGACTAGGACGCTTACCAGTTCGGTGACGCCTATGCGCGACGAATACGCGCGCGTAATCCGCGATTTGTCCTATAATAAAGCGACTTTCCGGCTTGTCCAGATTGAGTTGTTGATGTCGCAGACCGAACTCGTGCACTCGCTCATCAATTTCAAGTCTCCAAGGGCAGCGAGGTGTTAGTTTCCTTTTCACGTAAGGTTGCCACATTTTCGAGTGGAGGCCGCGGCGCAATAGGTTCATCGCTGCGGATGCGTCGTTACAAGCACTCTACCTGTTGCCAGTAGCCTTCATTGCACGGGCAGTGAGCACATTCACCGTAAACGGATTGATTTTCTGCTGTTTGCCGACGCGCGGTGAACTCCACTCTGGCGACCCGTCACGCAGTTCTCGTCAGACGGGAGGAACCCGCGGCATCGGCGCATTTAGGGATAAAACTGCGCTTCCGTTTCATCGTTGCAAAGATTGCTATTTCTCGTAGCTTCACTTCTGCTTTTTTACTTGCCGCCCTGTAACTGTTGAAGTTCCAAAACGCTGCCGCTTTCAGCGCCGTTGTCGACAGCCGACGGGCTTGTACGTGAGTTAGGCCTACACCGGTGAATCGGCGACCGCCATTGAACGGCGCGAGTTTGCTATCCTTTCTGTCCCGAGTGATAGCGGGGCTCTTTCTGAGGTTCACAGCGAACGAACGATCGCAACACCCGCTTCATAAATTAGTGCTGCGAGGAACTTCTTTACTACGGCAGGCAGTCGACAGCACCATGACAAAATGGCACATGTCCGTGCGCGTCACGATGAAAAAGCAGACGCCGGAAACGCCACTTGGCCAATCGGGTGCCTAGGTTTCGTCACGTGTCCTAAGCAGCCAATAGAATCGCGCGGTGGTGCTTCTCGATGACGCTTTTTTGCTGAAAAACTAATTAGCAAGGTGAGCCACTGGTGGCGGGGAATTGAAGATGAAAAACGACCTTTCCAAATGAGACCAAGATGACCACGATAGCTCGTGTATAACGGCAATGGTTCGGCGTGGAAAAAGCGCGACTTTAGCATCTATTTGTGCTCAGATTCATCTCACGGGGGTGTTTTATAAATTGAATTTGTGCCAGAAATGATGACGTGAGACGCTTGAAACTTCTCAGATAAGTTCAATAATAGATGCAGACTCCGAAAATGTTAACTTCAAACAGTCGGTTTTTTTCCCAATTTCCGCCTTTCAAGACCCGTGTCCCCCCTTAAGGCACACATCACACGGCCGCAGCTGTGAGACGAGCTCGGTGTGAGAGTCGCGCAGCAGTCGCTTTACGGAGTCGGTCAGGTGACACCGAAACCCATCAAGCACAAGCATCGAAGGGAGCACCAGCAGTTCTTTGGGCTGTCCACTATATCGAGTCAAGCACTAGCGATTCATCCATCCACCCCTTGTCCTAGCAGCGGACGACGACATTTTTTGGGGAACTTCTCCCCTTCGTCAGCGTCTTTTGTTTGAACACCATGTAGGGTGGTGGGTGGCAGCTTGCGATTGTCTGCAGTGCAGGACAACATTACAGTCACCTTGGTTTTTTCGTTCCTAGTTTATCGCACGATAACTTGCCTGGAGCCTTTCTGATGCACCGTCAGCGCCGAGAGCGTATCCATCCAGGTAGCTCGGCGTTCAATTTCCGTTGCTTGTCTGGCCCAGCTTAAAGGGGAAAACCTTTCGCAACGCAATTACATACTTTTGAAACTTCACAAGATCCTCTTCCTAGCTCTTTAGTAGCTTCTGCGAGATCGACGTACGCTGACAATGGGATAACCCTGCGTGGCACGTGAAGAGAGACACCCAATGCTTGTTCACTTTGAAATCTCCCGGATGAATGCCTTTGTCCTCTTGCCTTCACTTGTAGCAGCTCGATGTTAAAAGCGAGATGTGCAACTTGCTGCTCCCGCATAAAGTCTGTGAGTTCTCATTCCACGTCAGGAAACGCTCCATTTATCGGTCTGCGGAAACTTTTTCACTGGCTGCTGCAAGCAAAGAGGGCATCCTTCTGCTTTCGTTAACTGCGAATACTCGACTCGCTGACTCCAAACTGCCACTC